CCACAGCAAGGAATGCCAGGAAGAAGTTCAACATTCGGAAAATATGAATATTTTGTAAGTTTTGTAAAAATGTAGAGAGATTTTATGGCTTTACATTTCTTTTCTTGATAGTTACAGGCCAAATTCCTTTATGATATGAAAGAACTAAGCTACACTTCTATTAATGAAACAAGACCAGCAGTTAATGAAACAAGACCAGCTTATCCCAAGAGAAAATCTCATTTCTGTTTTAGTGCCATAACAGCAAAATTAGAGGAAATGCAACAAACTTTCCATAATATGTACAAGCCATTCTTAGCCATTCAGATGGCTCAATATTTAGATCATGAACCACTCTGTTCAGCTCACTAAACATTTATTTTGCTAAAGTCTGACTTCTTGCAGGATGGTGTTCACCCCTAGGTCCTCCTCTTGCAATTTAAAGATCTGACTTTATACATTACAGGTTTGGAGCAGTGTCTTTTGAGGGTGGGAGGAGAGCAGGGGGGATTGGATAACTGCCCAATTTCTTAGGATAAAAGTGAAATTCTCTTCTGTCTGCAGGACAATCCCCAGGGAACAACGTATGAAACCCAAACTTAAATAAAATCATATCCTGTTTGCAAACATCATATTCCCTTTGCTTCTCAGTAATCTGGACCCATAAACCCCAGCACAGCTTGAGAGCCCATTCCTCATCTAAACAAATGCCATAAGCCCCTTTATACTTTTACAACCATGTCAGAAAATAATATTGACTGCCAATAGTGATGTGATTGGAGTTGCCTCCTCTGAGCCATAAAAGAAGCAGTCTGTTATCAATTTCTCTAAATGCATCAAGGGAATTATGGGTTGGTTCAGTTCCAAGTTATAAATGACAATTCAAAAGCCACAGAAGTGTTTGAAGCTGGGAGCCGATGATGACATTATCATAAAAGCCTGCTCTTCTTTGCTTTTGTGGGTTTTTTGCCTATCAACTAGACAAAAAAATATGGCTGAGAAATGACTTCAAGATTTCTTCACACAGCAGCAGGTCAAACAGGCAGGAAAACAATCACTATTTTTAGTGACAGACTGAAGCATGGAGATGAAACTTACTCCCACTAAAAGTAGATTTCTGCTTCTCTTATTGTCATTTTCACAGCACAACAGAAGATAAAAGTAGATTTCTGCTTCTCTTGTCATTTTCACATCACAATAGAAGAGGAGGAATTGCAATAGATGGATGCATTGATCAAATGATCAGTTATAGCTCTAGCGACTGTTTACAGATGAAAAATCATGGACTGGCCTGATAATCTGCAGAACCAAAAAGTAATTTGGGATTATTCTCCCCATTTGGCCACTTCACCTGCAATCTACCCACCTCTCCTGGAAAACTTTTCACATTCCAAACCTCTGACCGGCTGCAAGAAACCATCTCTTACTATTAAAACTGCTGGCCATAGAGCTGCTAGTCTCTCTCCAACATGAGGAATTTCATTCCCCTGGTATTAGAATTCTTTAACAACATTTGGTTCTGAAACAGCATTAAGATTGAAAAAAGAATAAAAAGCAGTATTGCAAGAGGGAGGTCCAATAGTGGATGTTATACTGCTGACCCTGGATAGTCCTCTGATAAAAAATTAACTGTCATTGAAAGAAAACCTGTAATGGGCAAATTTAGGAGGTTCGATTTAGACAATTCTTTTTTTCTTTCTCTGTGAGACCTGTTAAGTTTGGCCGTCAATATGAAACAGCTTTATGCTCTTAGGTAAGAGAGCTAATTATTACTTACTTAGTTTCCTATAAAACTATAAAGTTTTTTGTCTGATTTCTTCTGAAAGCCTAACATATAGTGAACCAAATTCACCAGTGACCCTGACATAAACAGTCCCTATCACTACTTGAAAGAAAATTCATATGGATGAAAAATGTTTACGAAATCAGTAAACTGCAGCTTTATATGAATTTTGCACTGGTATAAAGGATTTAGAGCCATGATGGAGCAGGATCAGAAAGTATTAGTTATGGACATGGCCTCGTGTTTGTTTTCCAAAATTCTTGAAAAAGCTTTTGTTTACTGTAACTGTAAGTAATGTCCAAAGAAGAGGAACCTCGATCTTGACTGCAGTTTATTGGTGCTGTTAGAATAGAGATAACAACAAAATCAATAATGTAGTATAATTCAGGGTTACAGAGGTTAGCTGGATCTTTATTTGTGAACAGTGCAAGCCATCCCAGACTCATGCCGATGTAGTCCTTATAGCCCATCGGCTGATCATGCCTTCAGTGCCTGTGAAGTCCTAGGTTCCAGTCCTTGCTCCAAGAGCAGTTTCCATTTTGTCCAGTAATTCCTTCATGTGAAATATATAAGCTGTTTATGGAGCAGAGGCTCAGAGCTAGGACTTCACATTATTTATAAATGAATGATAGGTGGATCATAGCCTTAGATACATGGGCTTTATCCTACTTATGTTCTATCTTCTTGGCCCAGTGCTTTTTCCAACAGTGGCACAGCTTCACTGCATGGTATTAGGGTCTCCAGAAAGAAACAGTCTATGATGTCCTCAGTAGTAACAACATCCACTAAGAGACAGGGACTCTGATATTAAATCCAGAGTGGCAGTGGAGAGAAATGAGCCTAGGTTTCCATTCTCTGTGTAGTCCAACCACTAATCTATTTAATAATAGAAGAGGTGCATGACAACAACCAGCAAGGTCCTCATATGGTTAGAACACAATAGGATCAAAGAGCTCTGAAAACCATTGTTCAAGAGGTAGCCATAACCTACAAGAAAAGAAGTCTTTTTTTTTCCTTAATACTTTCTCACTGTATTCTTTAGCAAACAAGTAACAAAGCTAGCAAGCAAGAAAAATAAATGAGAAAAAAAATTAATTCTTCCAGCCCTCCTTAAAATCTTTACATGAACTACTCATACGGGTTTACATTGATTACTGCTTTATAACCCTCAATTAAGTTGAAAGCTACTAAATAGCAATGCTTCTTTCTTTCCAGCATAATTTTTGAAAGTAAACTTAAAAATTGCTTTCCACGCAGTTTGAAGCAGCTCCCTTTCCCAGAGCTCATCTTAACCAATAGACAGCTAAATATCACTGAAAGAGAGCTCCTAATCTGATTATTTGCCTTGAAAAAGGTCATAACCCATTCCTTTAAGAGCCTCACAGCAAACCTGACAGTAATAATATGTAGAAAGGCAAACCAACTAGAAAAAAATAAATAAAAGATCCATTTCTACAACATGTTCTTTAATCCAATTTCCAGTATTTTAAGTAAGAAATAAAGCAAACAAACTCAAAAAAAGTGTAGATAAATTTAAGTGCTGAAAAAAATGAAGCTATACTGAGCATTTCTGCTGAGCATTTCTGACTTGCATTAGGTTTAGAATGGACAATGTACTTTCATTAACACAAGGATTTCAAAGCACATCTCTATTCACTATTTTTTAATACCACAATAACTTATTTCATAGAAAAACCTTATACTTTAATTTTCAAAGCACACATGGTCCTATTTACTTTCCAAAGTCCTAAAAAAGATTTGTCAAGAAATTTTACATTGGCTTCTCTTTACTTGGAAGCCTGAACAACATTATTTCTCGACTTCATTAATCTCTTGTTCATTTTTCTCTAAACTTCTTTACAACTGCAACAATGGTGTGAAAAACTACCTGTTTTTATACAGAAATGTGTGCATGTATGCATGTGTATGTGTGCATATGTGCACAAAGTAGCACACAGAGGTGCATGTCTATGTGTCAAAGTGTCATGTTAGCTGATACACATACCGAAATGACCCCCAAGTTTCAAAATTAACAAGTTGCTAGTCATCAAGTTTCAAATTTTAGGCAGAATTCTCAGCAAGTCCACAGTAGAGGAGCTGGAATGATTACAACTTCCTGATTCTTTGTTCCTTAACTCGTAGCTCAGAAATCCTCAAAAATTACTAAATACTGAAAGCTAGAGTGGAGTTTTTCATGTGTTAAAACCTTACAAAATGGGTATTTCTTCGGTCAGGTATCTCATAATAAAAAACCCCACCATAAACAAGACTAATATGGTATGGAATTTAACCTTTGTGAAGGATAAAAGTAAATAAAAATTTAGAAGGTTGTAATGGAAGTTGACCTCCAGAGGTTGTGGCTTTATTCCTGCATACTCAGTAACGGTGAAAGGGAACTAAAATACATATGCATCATCCAGCCAGCCCATCATGATATAGTAATATCATCATTTCACTTTGGTGTTGCTGACATGAGTAAATAATGGACCCAGCTGGACCAAAAGCATAGAATACTTTTGTGTGAAAAATCTCTATATGCAAAAAATTATTTAACCCTGGTATTATCTTCACTAGAATTTTATAGGTACATGATACCAACATCAGTAGAAATTCTCTGTTCTATATGTTTTTTCAATAATTTAGATTAATTCTTTTACCTAGTCTTGCAACAGATTTTTATCTGAAGCTTTTTGTCTACTATGTCCTAATACTCACAAGCTTGTGTTTCAGAATGAATCAATTTCAAAAAGAATATAAAAATGCTCAAATAATTTATTAGTTTAATGACACCCAAGTTATTAGCTAGCAGCTAATGAGCACTTCTCATGCTAAATGTTAGCTTTGGTAATTTTTTTGTAATTTCTGAGAAATGTGGAGCTATATTTACTTCTCAACAGTACACAAAACAGATTCTCCAAAACTCATTCTGCTGTAACAATTGCATCCATGTTGCTTTCCTCAAAAACGGAGCTCATGTGAAAAACCCAGAGTGGGACAATGAAGAAATGTACACATTACCACAAAATATGTTCCTAACTAACTGTTCCATATGCTTATTGTAATATACGGTCTTCTATGTCTTTGAAAGCACAGTATGATAATGGCTCAGGTTTCATCTCTACATTTTTTATCAACTTCTGAAGACTTTGAACTGATAATGCAATAGTGCTAAAGAGTTCATGAATGAATACATATGTTACGTGCTGTCCTTCTTGCCAAAAACCAAACATCTACTTACCCCAAGTCCCCCACAAGGCAACAAGGAAAAGAGTTTTTGATTCACGTTTCCTATATATTAGAGAAAAAAAAAGAAACAATAAGCATAATTTATCAAAAAGACATTTAAATACTGGAACAGTAATCACTCTTTACAGTAATTCAAATTTCAATATCACACAACAAAAATTACTTATATTAGAATAAAAAATATTAATAGTACTTAGAAAGCAAATTAGCCACGGGACATTTAAGGTACTCTTTTGCAACAGTGACAAATCTTTATATTGCTAAGCAGCAGTTTCAAAGGAGTGTAATGATCAAATCTCCACAGAAAGTCAGTCTGAAATAGGGTGACAAGTCATCCTGATATCTGTAGCTGATAAGCAGCTTGTCTAAACTAGTCTTCTCAGCTTCTTCTACCTCCACTCCACAGCCAGTGGAGTGAGGTAGGCATCTCTGACCAGCCTAGATGACTGATGGAATGAATTATACTTGAGAAGTGCCTGTTTCTTTTCACTGACAACAGAGGGAACCTCATTAAGCTTACATGAGACTGATGACGCATTTCTTAACTTTGTCTCTCCAAAAAGGTTCTCCTTTGAAAATTGCAGTCTTAGCTTTCCTATCTATGGAAAAATGCTGTTCTCTTCTTTTATATACCATCAGTGAATATGTTAATATTTTTAAAACATAAAATGAAATACTACTTATTTCAGTATTACTCTGTAAATACATGCTATTGAAGGAAACAAAAACTTAATAGCCTTTAAATCTAATTTCTAGCTTACTCTGCTCTATACATTAGATAATGTGACAGGGTTTATCTTAATATTTATACTCACTTTTTATTCATTCATGCTTTCTTTTTTTGTACCACTAAAGTCACTGTTTGCCTTGATAAGGACAATATGAAAACCGGGTAAGGATCTCAGGATTTGATGCAGTTCCTATCCCAGTATGTAATCTGATCCTAAGGCAGCTGTGGAAGAGAACATACGCTTTTCCTCTGCCGTATCACAGAACTGGCTTTGTAACTTTGCCATCTGGAGGAAACATTAGATAGTGAATCACTCAAGTTACCTGGAGGAGCCACTGATTGTTATGGAAGGGGCGATTGCCTCAGTTACTCATATTTAGCAGATGCCAATAAAATGCATAAAGACAAATATAAGCCATCATCTTTGAAGTATGAGAGATCAGACTGCGAGGTTTGAGATGAAGAAAGTGTTTTACACTTTGAGTAAAATCCAAGATGCATTTTTAACTGACTAAGGGCCTTTGATCTGTTTGCACAGTGTGTGAGAGAAGCCAAACAAAACCTCCTGTGGAGCTACCAGGGGAAATGCAGGTGCAGCAGCTATGCAGAGTATTCTCATACTGTGAGTCCTAATGGCCCCAAACATGCAAGGAAATGTTGGCTGCAGGAGATTGTCAGAGTAGAGGTACGGGAGGAGTTTCCAGATCTCTTGCTAAGCAGATCCAAGGACCAATGCGAATAGCAATTTTTCACATTTTACTGTGGGAAAGATCAAAAAGTCTTGAGGATATAACTAAAAAATTAGTGCTGTTAAAGTGCCAAGACACATTAATGGAAACATAAGATGCAATTTGAGATAAAAGAAGGTGTTTTTAGAATATTGAATGACTAGACCTTTTTTCTTAAATTCCATTTCAGAGGACATAAGAGAGACCAGACGAATTTTCATTTATCTCCCTGCAGCCAGGCACATAGCGCGTGGTAAACACAAAACCAGAAAACACAAAGTAAAAACAGAAAAGCAGATGGTATGGAAGAAGACTAAAATCAATCAACAGATAGTACTAAAATGAGGGAAAACAAACACAAAGTTTTTTCAGTGTATCAAGAAACTTGACAGGATACTCACTTCTTATTGCATGATAGTAAAAAAAACTCCAGATAATACACTTGGCGGAACAAGAAAAACATTGAGATTTCATGAAAAAAACAGTGGGGAAAGGTTTTACTGAGGGAGAGTGAAGCTATCACTTAGCTAGCCTCACAAAAAGAGAAGAGCTCACAACACACTTTGCCATAAATTAAAATCATCAGCAAAAAGCAAACCATGAAAATGAATTCAGGTGAGAATTTCCCACAATGTTTTGAGTTGATGTCCCAGTAAAACTTGATAAATAGCAGTAATTTTCCATTAACACCCTTCCACAACCCAGGATACCTCCAGAATAATAAGAAAAAAATACTGGGATACTTCAAGTTAAGATAGAAGACAAATTTTAAGTAATCATACTTTTTTTGGCTTTGCATCAGGACAGAGTTTGCAGTCATCAGCTAATCACTTGAGGGAAAAGATCTTTTAGAAAAGAATCAGTACAACTATTTACTAGTAGAGCTAGAAATATTATCCAAGATTTGTATTTTAACATTTCAACCCACAAAGGCAGTAGAATCTGCTTAGTCAAATTAGGTGCTGAGGCACCCATCACTGACTGAGGTCAGGGCCTCTACAGAAGTCAAGGAAGCTGCTTAGGAGGTTGAATATTGGGGACTGAGAGTCTGATGAGAACGAAAAGTGATAGGCAAAAACTCCTTTTCAAAAAAATCAACAAATTGAAAAGTGTATTCACTTGTGAAAAGGCAATTTGAGGAACCTGATTGTTTTCAGTATTATTCCTCAGGAGCGAAGCCATTTCTGCTAAGTGGTCATCTTTTCACTAACCTGAAATTGCAATTGCAAAGCTGCTCTCTGAATGCATCTTTTAGTTGTACTTTAAATACTGCCTCACTGTCAGGGATGTATTGACAGTATATTTCTTACTTTTTCAAACTTGTAATCATTGGAAACTTGATTTTTAGAAACACTTTCTTAATTACAGTTGAAGAGGGAAAAAGCAAAGAAATCTTAAGACTTGTTTTATAACTGTTCTGCCCTTGAGCTTATTAAAAGAGATTTGAAAGGTTGTTTTCTGTCACATGGAACAGGAATATGATGTGACACATAGTATGCATATTAGTTTCCTTCATGTCAAGACAATGTAATGCAACATAACATCTTGCTTACCACCTCACACTGAAATATGATCAGTTAAAAGCTTAACTACACAATAGTGTAGAAGTTGAAGTGGTCATTTGCAATAGCTGCATTTGTAGGCCTCGATGCAGGCAAAATAAAGCCAAGAGTTCAAGGCAGTTTATACTCCAAAACCATTAAGAATATGTGAATGACAACTGTATGCATAATTCTCACTGATTTCAGTAGTTTATAGCCCTTTCACCTTACAGTCCTCCAGAAAAGATTTTTTTTTTCCTTAACAGGGACACTGAAATAAGTATTTATTGACAAGTAGCACATTTCTAGCCCCAGCTGAACTTAAATTTCATTCAAGTGTTTCTTTTCTGTTTGGAAGATACAGAAACTGCTTGTTAGAAAAAAAAATAAACTTCAAACAAAACAGATGTAGACTTCTGAACAGGGACAGGGAACAAATGCTTTTCTGGAGCACAAGTGGAGAACAAACGGTGCCTTTGTCTTTTTGGGTGGGTGGAGGAGTAAGGAAAGGAATGGTTAGGTCCTCTTTTGCATTAGGATGCTAAGCCATAATTTGATTGAACAATTTCTGTAGAAAAAAAAAATGCACTTTCATTAAAATAGAAATGTTTTATGAGATGATGGTGTTATTGATGACATTTTTGATCAGAAACATTTCCTTTAGATTTTGCTCCTTTGCTGCACATCATTTTGAATTTATATACTATACCAAGATGTTAATTTTAAAGTCAGAATTGGTTAAGTTCAACCTCACTGAACTGGGGACAACAAAAGGTCGAAGAGTCACACTGAATTTTTGGGAAAATGTAAGAGACAATTAAGTTTCTTTATACAAGAGTTTGGAAGCCCAAATGATTAGAGCTTCCAGACCGAATACAGGCACATGCAAAAGCATATGGGAAGGGTGTTTCATTGACTGTTGTCTTGGTAAAAGGCCATGTGAGATGCAGCAAGAAAACATCCTAGAAACAGAGACAGAAAAAGGCATTAAGCCAAGGATACACTCAGAACATTTGCTAGGAGTGTGATCTGGATATAGACTTGAGTAAATGTTTTGGACTATGTATTAAATAAAAAAGGCAAAGAGTGTTGAGTAAAGAACTGTGGACAAAGAAATGGTTTTCTGAGACTGGGTAAACAAAGCATTCTGCATTTTCCATACATAGGCAGAAACAGAGCGAGGATACCTTGGTCCATTCCTTTTTTCTCCTCGCAGCTGCAACTACACACTGCATCCCATATGGAGGTCAGCCACTGAGATCCAAAATGGGAACAATATTTTATATCAATGTATGTTATATTAAATAATGTGAAAATAAAAATTAAATGAACCAAACCCAACAAATTTTAAATGAAATGCTTGATTCTATCAAAATTGAACATTTTTACAATGTTGATGAACTCAAATAAAAAGGTTTCTAAGTTTCCATCTTGTAGAAATTTAGAGCTTTTTCTTGGAAACATTTTTTTTTTTTTTTTTTTTTTTTTAAGGAGGCTTTCCTACCTTGGAAATTCAAGCTCCTGTGAATCTGTCATACTGTGAGTATTTTTGTTTTGTTGTTGCCTTGGCTAAGAAGATGTATAAACTTAGATAACATTGTGATCAAGACATTTATCTTATCTACTCCTATGACTCACTAAAGCAACAAAAGTCTTACATAAGAAAGTCTTTTTGTTTGGGTTGGGCTTCATTACATTCAGGAAAAGCTCCACATTTTAGAATAAGTGTTATAAAAACAGTCGAGAATGAGTGTTGCATTCCATGTGCTGAGACATAAAGGGCAGGATTTCACTCACAGATTATTTTCAAAATGCACTAGTTTTTTGTGTGTTTCTTTTCACATTCTCTGCACCAGGTCTGACAAGTAGATCTGCTTCATGCTACATTCCAGGCAGAGCTCAATTTAAACTTACTTTTCTATTATAAAAGCAAACACTGAGTATTGTCTATGCATGAAGATATTTGATGTGAAAATCCTGTCAGTTTTTTGCTATTCTGTACATCCATAGGTTTATTTACCATTTTAATGTGTTTTTTTTCCTGTTACTCAGAAAGATATTGTATAACAGGATGGCATCAAAGTAAGATTAGTAAACTTATTAGCAAGACTTAAGCATGGCATCTGCACTCACCATGGCTGAAATAATTGAAATAAAGCAAATGGGAACAGCAAACAAGCAATTCTGACAAGCAAGTGTACCTTAAACTCCCATTTTCAAATCAAAGAACATAAGGAGATAGAAGACCAATCACATTCAAAATTGCCATTGACGTCTGATGGAGAACAATTTGCAGTAAAGGGTTAACACTTCAATGATTTTTGAAGTGAATGAGGAGAAACTTCTATTGCTGCTTTCCAGCCTGTGCATTTTGCTAATCTATATTTGGCTTCCATTGTAACATTCTCCTTCCACACAGCAATGCGTTTGGAAAAAGTGAATTTTTGTCACACTGCTTGCCAAGTATTTTAAACTGACACCAGCTATGACTAATGACAGTGCTGGAATGTGCTGTTCTCAGTAGAATAGAGGCCTGTACAGACCTAGGAGTTTCCTGGGGTCCAGCTTCTGTCTGTTCAGGGGGCTGGTGCCATACAGCAGTGAATGATGTTCAGAGTGAACCAGCTGTATTTCCTCCAGACTGGCTTTTCGACCTCGAATTCGCTGAAAGAAAACAGCAGAGGCCTACAATATTCCACTGACAATATTTAGGGAGAGAAAAAAAAAAAAAGAAAAGTAAAGGTCCGAAATAACATTTAGTATGATTAATAATGGGTTGAAATTGCGTCATGCAGGAATGTGACACAGATTTGTTTATTAAAGTAATGCTATATGAAAAACAAATGCGTGTGTGGTTTATCACAAATGCTTCACTTAAATCCTAGCAGAGTTAACACAGGATTTCACATACAAGAAAGAGAAAAGATTCTGCCTCTTTTCTACATTATATTAAGAGATATCAACCAAAGGTGAAATATTTCTTAAGTAAGAAAACTGGCTAGAAAAATTCTAGTTTAAAAAGCATAAACTTACTCACACCTGTGAGCTGCAGATGTGTTCTGAATGAGGATTAATGGGTTTTTTGCATTACTACTAGTACTTGTGATTTATGCTGCTAGGAAGAACATGATCACAGTGAGGAGAGCCAGGATGAAGAAAACTAAAGTTTAAATACTTTAATAAAATATTTCTATATATTTTTTAATTTTTTTTAATGTATGTTTGATATCCCAGGATAATTTTTGCTGTTACGAATGCTGACTCACTTGCTTCCTTACGTTTTTTTGTCTCTCTGTTTCTCCAGCCTGTACTCTGCCCACTTAAATCTGTGTTTAAAATACATTATGTCTTTCTATAAATTCATTGAAATTTTGTTCAGTTTAGAAAGGAAGGAAGATAGGAAAGAATGAAGAAAAGATTAAAACTAACATTTTCTTATTCAGCGGATCTGTTCCTTGTATGTATTTGGAGTTACAGCTTGTCATAAAAATATTTACTTCTCTGCTTGTGCTAGTGCTGCCCAGCCTTTGCAGACACAGCAACATGAAACAGCTTTTGTTCAGATTCAGGCATAATAAACAGCACTGTCAACAAAGTTCTGGTCCCAAGATCATCTTTCCTGTTGATACTGTATAATGTAGAGAAAAAAAACAGTTTATTTTTAAGGTCTTGGGCTCTATTGGCAGACCTGGTCCTTACAAATACCTGGACCAAAACCTCTCACAACTTAAACTGTGGATACATCTGACTGTGAAGGTCTATGGATAAATAGGTACAGAGTTATCTAAAAAGATCATCTTATTTTTAATAGACTGATTAACCTGTTACAGAAATATCACTCAGTTCCAGTTTTCTTAGAGGTTAAGTTGTAATTCTTGTTATATCCATCACCCACTCTTGCACATCAGAAGGCACCAACTTCTTCACCAGGAGAAGAAAGCAATTTTATCAATATTAAAGAGAATGTGCACTACAGAAGAAAGGAGCTGCCTAGGGGGTGTCAGAAGAACCATGAACAATTTATACTGAGTTAAGCAGTGGCATTTTTTTCTGACTAATCAGGAGAAATCTCCTAAGAGTTAGATCTGGATGACTGTGGAACAAGCTCCCCCTCGGGAAAATGGTGGAAACCCTATTTCTTGCAGTGTTTAAAACTTGACACAATAGTGGAAAAAGCATTTTAGGGAATGATCCAAGAACTAAATGACTTAATAAATCCTTTTTCATCTCTAATTTCTTCAAGCCTCTCCCAGTCTCACATGAGAATTTGAAGCAGTGCACTCACATCCTTTTAACATGCAGTTGCACAATCAAAATCAGCACATTATGTTACTTCATGGAGTCAGTAAACTCTGTAATGGTTCTTCTGGGTCAGATAAAATGTTTTTCTTCACAAGTGAGGTGACTAGTAACATTTAGTCATTCATCCATCCTCATTAAGGTCTATGTTTCCAATAAGCTGCTTTCAAATGTATATAGTCAATTCTTCACATCAAAACTGGGAAGGGAAGTTGGCTTTTAGGACAGCTAAAACAAATGTGTAAGAAAACTAAAGAGGTATTTTATGAAGGTCACATCAAAGAACCCTGAGTAAAATACTCACTCTCTGGTCATATATTTTCTATAGGTTACACAAAAACTTTTTAAGAGATGTTTAAGAGAGTTAATTGTCTGGCTCTTTTTAAAGTGCTGTTAAATGCCATAGCTCTTAAACTATAAAAAGACCCACAGCAAGCCATTATTCTTACAAGGGGGAGCTCTGTGATATCCTATGGAATATAGTGATTTGCACAAACAAGGTAGGGTCTGGAAGTGGTCTCTCCAAAACATTTTGCCGACGTGCTACCTACTACTCAGTATTGCCAGCCAGATTCTCTAAGGAAGAAACATGTTGTGCAGAAACAGGTTTGGTGCAGAAATCAAGTAGCGCCAAACAGGACACCCCACTCTAGGCTTCTCCCTGCAGTGAGGTCCTTGGAGTGCAGCCAACAGCTGAGCTGCCAGGACAGACATAGCCCAGAGCTGGTCTTTCTCTATGGCTGAGCAGCGACTAGCATTCTCCCAAAAAACTCCCAGACATGGTTTGGTCACTGGCATAGGACAGGGAGCATTCCTGATAGTATGAACACGGGCCTTTCCATGCCAGTTTTCCACAGTGGTGAACAGTCCCAGGTGCATTTTATTTTGTAGTGAAGACATGGTTTTGAGTACCCCAGTCAAACCTTGTTATGATTTTACCAAGTTATATTTTAAAAATGCTATATATGGGGCCAATTTGAGGAATATATATAGGTAATAGATAAAATCTAAATTAATCTGTTAACTGTAGCAAGCACAGTGTCAGCCCAGTATACATGACTTCCATCATCCCATGCCCAGTTAGAAATGATGGTTCTCTGTGCACTTGGCCAGCTGATTCTCCACGGCCATACACCTGAGCTACATGAGAGGGGTTAATCCACACCACGTGATTTAGGAACCACATTTTTCTCCCTGCTATAGATAACAAAGATCATACAGATATAGATTGTTCATTTTTATAAGGGTTTATTGTTAGATTAAGAAAATAGGGACGCCCCCCTGGCGCAAGCCTGTGGTTAAGGATACGCACACTGCGAGGTAACAAGATCTGATCTACATCTGACTGATCTACCTTTGATTCTGAAACTCTTCACCAGGCAAAGAGTGAGACTGCAGCTCTCTTGTGGGACTATTGTTTCAGTAAAAGAGGAAAAAAGAAGGTTCACAGTTACTGCAGGGAGTTTCTCAAGTGGCTGTTGCAGGTTGCTGGTCCTAAGCTACCCTTCAGACTTGATGCATGAGACAGTGCATGTGGCAAAACCTCATCAGCAATCTCCCCAGTCCTTCTGACAGAAACCATGGGAAATTATATTGAGAAATTATATTAAGAAATACTAATGTCCATTAGGGGACATTCCGAAGTCAGTAAAAGAGGCAGTGCAGTTGGCCATGATGCTTTGACTCTGCATCCTCGGTGTGGTGTATTCCAGAATGCAACTTAACGGTGGCCTATTATTTCTTGAATAATGCAATAACCACTCCTTTAGTGACACAAGTCATATATTCAGCTGAATAACTCTTGTAAAGAATCAGAGCACCAATTAAGTGAATCACTGCAGCCTTCCTTATTTTGAAAAGTGAGCAGATTTAAGGATGTGTTTGATGTCAAGCAAGTGCTAGAAAATGCAGTGAAGAACAGATTGCATAATCATATATAATCATGTCTTTAACTACACAAGAAGATCAAGATAAACACCAGATCTACGCACCAGCTTCACACTGAGGTTCCTCAAAGTTTTATCATCAGAGTTTACATCTTGACGGCTCATTTCATATTTCAGTCTCATTTCAAAGCACACAATGGGAGTTGAAATTAAATTAATGCCATTCGACATGAAATTACCTATTTCCTCTCTGCCTACTCACTGGATTTTGCAAGACCTAATAGGCTATCAGAAATTGCAGAATTATAAGAGGAAACTTTAAATCTTCCAGGAGACTATTGGACTGCACGTACCTCAGAGTGACCTAGACCACTTTTCCTATTTAGACCCGTTCCAGATCCACACAATTTACTGTTCAGTAATATTTGTTTATTGCAGAAGAAAAAAATACATAGTAACAAGCACATTTCATTTTACTTATTTTCTCTCTTTTTTGTCTTTTCTTTATAATACAGGTCCTGAGTCAAGAAGGTGACTAGGCCTTATTTTAGTAAAGCACTAGGCTGTGTGTTTAACTTACTCCTTATGTATATGATCCTACTAGTGAAACCATTCACGTGGTATATGGCCTTAAGGGCTTTGTTGGAAGAAAGTCTTCCTGAAGATTGAAAAAAATGATCCAAACTAAAAAAAAAAAAAAAACCACAAAAAACCTGTTACAGTGCTGCCATCTAGTTAAATGAGTATATACAATAAATCTATTTATAGTGCTTGCAATATCTCACTGCCCATTATGCTAGGCTACCTACAGAAAATCTTCATGGACAGTCAATAATAGCTAATCAAAGGAACCTATTGTACCAATTTGTTTGTGTTTCTAAAATATATATAAATAAAAGTAATTAAATAAAATAGAGCATAAGAGCCCTGGCAATTTTAGGATCATATAAAACATAAGCAAATTTGTGTTGAACTTTGTTAACTTGTGCTGCAATGCAATAAGCACCCTCAATGGCCACAGGCTTCTGCAGAAGTTGACAGTGCTGCACAACTCATGGGAAGCAGTAAATGGTAAGAAAAGGCTGTTTTTCAGTAATCCAAGTCATATATGAACCTCAGAGACCATATTCGATTTAAGCATGATGTTTTAATGTGCAATTTTGAGGTGGGAATCAAAGCAGACAGAATTCTTTGTTTTCTGATTGGAAAGTCTACTTTCCTAATATTATTTTAATATTGTCAGTTAAGTCCAAATAATTCCTAAGAAAAAATACTCTCTTATTAAAGAAGTAAGACAGATTTAGGATTTAATAAATTTGCCATTTACTTTAATAAGTGTTCATTTTTTATTACCTCGCACTTGTTTAGCAACCCAGTTTCTTGCAGCCTTGACCAGATGCTTTGGATCCTTCCAGCATGTTCAGGGTGGTTAGCATAGCTGCCACACATACACTGGTGCTTCAACATCAGACTGTCATACACAACACCTTCAGCACAAAGACAACACAATAGGAAACAGTAAGTGAAACAAATGCAAGTTGTACTGTTCCATGTCATGCATACAGTAGCACAACTGGATTTTATTTGGCAGTTAGAGCAAGATGAAAATTCTGGATCTTAATTCCCCTTTCCTCTGGGAGGCTCTGAATTTTGACTTACGAGGTACATCTTGTGGTATTGATAAGGCAAAAATGAATTTTCAAGAAATTATGCTAATAAATACAATTCATTGAAAAGAAGAAAGGAGATAAGGTATTATATTGTTGAAGTTTTAATGGCCAGAAAAAATTCAGTCCTATTACTGAATCACTTGTTTTCTCTTTCTCTGGTGGGTAAGGTCAATTAAAGCTGTTAACCTGTATATAACAAGAAAAGGTTATATAATAATAACAGTGTAAGTAAAATCATTCAGAAAAAACTTTTAAAATAAATTTTGAAATGGCAATGCCACTCTCTAGTTACACTTCTTAACTAATACCATATCAATTCCAGATCTCAAAGCATATCAGATGAAACTTTCAGAGAGTTGTAGCAGTGGCAACCAGAGTCCTTTTTCACTAAAAAGAAGAGTTTTGCCCACTACTCTCTTAGGACCAAATCCTGTTATTAAGTTGCAATGCAAGGTTCTTTTTGAATTTTCTACACTCTTTTGTTGAAGGACAGAACAACTTTCTATCACATTGCTCTGTAGCTGTGTATTGGGAGCAAAAGAGAAATTTTAGTGAGTAGGCTTGAGCTAAACTAAATCTTCAAGGCTTTGTAACCAAATCTGAAATGCTGAAAAATGATTTTATTTACCTGTTTGCATTTATCTCAGAAATGTCTGGAACAAAAGATATTTTCCTTACCCCTGTGAACCATTTTCATTTGGGACAGATTTGGATTTTTCTTTCTCTTACAGCTGAAAGTGACTCAAATTAACAATTTGTCCAAACTGCAAAACTTGGCATTCAAAACCTATTTCTTATGTGCCACCACTACCGGGGATGCCAACACAGTTCTGGGAAAATTGTGTTAGCCTGCTACGGAAAAGTCAGCCAGTGAAGAAATTACAAAAATAAAGTCCAGATTCAACAACATACTCAATATTGCCCTTATTTAGCACAGTTCTTGAATGGATATTGAATTTTAATAAAGTGTTTAAAAAGCCTACTGAATAAGAGTCTGTATATGTTGTAGGCATTGCAAAGCTAAGGTTCTGAGATAATTCAGTTAGAAGCCAGCCAGAAATTATGCTGCTCTAGAAATATTTATGCTGCCATATTTCTTAGCTCATGCAGTTTAGATCCTTTGGGATCTTGCTATTTAAGCCAAAATGATAATACAACAATTATGTTTAGTGTAAGGAGAATGCAAACATAATACCTATGGGCAGCATGACTAAGTTTATGCTAAATTATTATCTAACAAACAAAATAGTTTATTAGTCACAAATTATTGTATTTACTTTCTTGGTTTGTTTTCTTTTAAAGAAAAAAACCCAGTGAAAATCTGGAGCTAATAAACTAATACAGCTCAAAATCTCTGCTGGCATTGTCAAAGCAGTTAATAATTTCCTTTCTCTGAAATTATTTGCACTGTACCATTTATAAGCTTTGCTGTTCTATCATCAGGTCTTATATGTTGTTTGAAATAGCAAATATGCACACAAATAAGTGAATACTCGCATACCTAGCTTTTATTTTCTTGGCATCCAAAGTTTTAACTTCTACAATCTGTTGCATACCCAGATTGTACAGTTTGCCAGTGGTCATTATACCATTAGATAAGAAAACTTTTCCTCCCATCTGCCTGCCCAACAGAGAAGGTGTTTAGATGCTAAATGTACGTGCATCAGGACTTTCAGAAGTCATAGGCAGAATAGGCAGTTATATCCAATGGATCTGAATGGAAACGTGTTAAATGTTAACAAAATTAGCTGAAAGTAGGAAGTATCTCCTGCCTGCCACTCTTTCAATGGATGTTTTATTCTAATTATCAATGCTCCCTACAGGCTTAGGTTTGCCTAGTCCAAACTGCATTTGATAGAAATTAAATATGTATTTTTTATTATACAGAATCAAGATGTTATGTAATAGTGACACCTTTTGATGACCTATATCAGGGTTGAAACTAAGCAGTGGTTTTGAGGTGAAATGCTGAAACTGTGTATTCAGAATGCCTCCTCTGGTTGACATAGATATAAATACATCTTTCTTAATGCATTATCATTTTTCCCAAAGTAGAATATAACTAAAAATTGAATGTTATTGTACATGAATTATTTTGTACAAATCAAAAATCAGCTTAATGGGGTCAGGGCAGTATGGCATGGCAGAAGCATCTGCTCCAAGCTTTTAAATACTAAGATATTCACACCACTGAGGGTAAAATTTATTTCTAGCAGGATTATTTGACTTAAGAAAATACTGAAATATATGTTTTCATTTATTGCAAGCATCTAAATTGATTTAGGATGTGCAAGTAATTCAGATGCGTGGTTGCTGGTCATACAGTACATGTGCTTGGTACAATATCACAATGCACCAGAAGAGTTTACTGCTAAAAATAGCCTGTAGGATTTCCCTAACAGGATTCAACTAATAATCTCCCCACCCCCACAAAAAAAAAACCAAACCAAAAAAAACCACCCAAAAAACAGGAGAGGGAGGGAGACAACTGTTTTCAATTGCAGACTGCTGTGCAATATTAATAAAAGATGGTTTTTCTGTCTCTCAGAACAAATGCCTACAGCCAGATTCTGCTCTCAGATTCCTTGTGTAAATCTGAGCAGCTCCACTGAGACTGGTGGATTTATTCTGGATTTACACCAATACTGCTGAGGTCAGAATATGGCCTTGTTGACAGACTGGAATGGTGGCACCACTGAATCATATAATGATGGAGGACATAGGACAAAAGAAACTGAATTTGCATTAAGCCATAAAAAATAATGGTGGGGACTCCCTAGCACTCATTCTTTTCCAAAATACTTTATTTGGGTCAGCTTCTTTCAATAATATTTTAAACAGAGGGGTGAGCAAGAGACCTTAAAGTTGCTGGCTAACAGCATGCTTTGAAGAAAGTGAAATACCCTGGAGAACGAGAGTACGAATAAGAATGCCCAAGGGAAGAATATCTAATAAATTATTCAGAAGAAAAATCTGAACTCAATAATGTCAAATATTCTGTAAACCATCTAAATGAACATCAAGTAGACTGTATTTTTTTCCATCTTTAACTCATTAACTTGTGTATATACTGCATATATACTGCATAGCTTTCTCACAACCATCACCATTATGATTCCCTTCAGATATTTGGCTAAGACCTTTTTCTCTCAGGACTCACAAAAATATAGGCTCATTTTGATCCTTGTGTAATATTCTGCCACAAGAGTTTTCCTTCTACCTTTCTTCTCTTCCAAGAATATATTGTCTTTAAACAGGAAAAAAACCCCACAGTATGAAATAATTCAAGGCAGAGAGGTGTTTTTAAATTAATTTCTAAAGTCTGAATTTGGCTTCTTCCTTTGTAGCCATTCCTTCCTTCCATGCTTTTAAAAATGGTAGTGCTGCAACTGCTGTGGACAATGTCTGGTTGCAACTTGTGCACTTAAGGGAGCAAATCATAGAACCACAGAATAGCTCAGGTTAGCAGGGACCTCCATAGTTCTGTAGTCCAACTCTCTGCTCAGAGCAGGTCAGCATTGTCATCAGACCAGGTTGCTCAGGGCTTTCCTCTCAAAGGATTTTGGAAAGAACTTATAAGAATAGATAAGAACTGGGTCTGGATTTCTTTCTTTCCACTGACCAATAAATGCTAGGGCACCATCTAAACCCAGGAAACACTATGCACAAATAAAGCTGTTCTATCCCATCCCATAATATGCCATGCCATGCCATGCCATGCCATGCCATGCCATGCCATGCCATGCCATTCCACACCATTCCACACCACACCACACCACACCACACCACACCATACCATACCATACCATACCATACCATACCATACCATACCATACCATACCATACCATACCATAAATTAATAATACACATATCGATCTAGTTATTCACAAAACCTGTATTAGAACTGTTGATGTTGCGAAGTCCCTGTTCATTGTCACTCTAAAGGTGTTAATCTCATAGTACAGAAAACAGCTCTATTTTCAATGGATTCAGAAGCTGAAGTGATAAAGGTTATATATTTAAGTCTATAAGCCTAGAGACATGTCAGAGAGAGCAGAAAACAAAGCAGAAAAGAAAGGCTTCATTGTGAATGCAGAGATGTGTGCTCTGTTGGACCTGTCAGTTTGAACTGGTCAATCAGCCAGGGCTGTTAGCTGTTAGCATAGATACAGCTTGGAAGCAGCTACATCACTGCATTTTGTCTTCAGCAAGTACCTCGAGGATTTGAAAGAGGTGAAGGCATAGAGTAGAAGTGGAGAAGCAGAAGCATGAAGTTGTGGAGAAAGTTAAAATAGGAGGATTTTTTTTTTCCTTTAATGAGTAGAGATTATTATCTTGAAAGGCCAGTGGAAGTGGAAAAAAGATTCAACAAAAGAAGAAACAAGGATTCAAGAAAAAAGATGTTTTGGATTTGGAGAAAGGAGTTCAGTGAAGGATTGAGAATCTCAGTTGGAATAAGATGCATTTTTTTCTCTCTTTTCTTCTCTATTTCTGTCTCTCTTTCCACTGCTGTTGTTCATGTAGCAAGGCTTTGCTAAGGTTGAACTGTCTGCCCAGTCTATGCACCCTGACTCTGCATATGCACTGTATGCATTTCCATTGTAGAATCCATCAGGCTTCCTTGTATCAGATCTTGAGACTTTTAAGCCTGGTATGTCCCATTTCCCAGCACCATCTCCATTCAGTTTGTCCTACATAATTTCTTTCCTTCTCTTATTCTTCCATCTCAATTTCACATTTGATTTCTTGATCAGTTCTATTGATGACACAAGTCCTCCATTCAAATGTTCCAGTGGAATTGCAGATTTTTGAGCAGGACATTGAAGCCTACACACAGTGAGCTAACTTTTGGTGTGCTCTGTGAATCTTTTAGAATCAGACTACAATGTTTTGGGGGCTCTGTGAACCAGAACTAGAAAAAAAAGTGGCCTGATTTAATAATCCTGTTTATACACAGCTGGTCTTTTTGCAGAAATTAATGGAAAGTGAATTAGCATGTTTCTGTACAATCAAAATATTTGTTACCAACAAGTGAGATTCCTAAATTGACAGTGTATCTACAGAAGAAGAAAGTATATCTTTCATCTTTGAATGTCATCTTGCATCCATTTACCCACTTGAAGTGCTTTAAGGACATCTCTTGCTTTTGCAGTTTTTTTATTTAAAAGAATAAATTTTTGCTTTCCAAGTTCACATTCTAATTGGAAAGGTGGGAGAGCACGCTGTCTTGCACAGTCATGTACAGTGACCACTAAGGACCCCATCTTACACCAATCCGTGGTCATGGCCTGAAGAGCTATAAGCTTTCAGTGCATAGCCAGTTCTGACAGCCAATGTGAAGGAATTAATGCTTCTGGCAGAAACCTGAATAAACAGTATCTCCAACTATTCATTTCCCCTTTCTTGTGCACAGAGTAAGTGAATTTTCAATTCTAACCATGCTGTAATGTTATACTGAGATTCATGCTCTAAAAAGATGGATCATCTTGCAAGGTTAGATTGCCCATAATAAGAAATGTAGTTTCTGTGGTCATTTTTCTTCCTTTTACTGAGTATTTTTGGGGTTCTACTCTACTTTGGGCACCCCAGGCCCTACCAATAGGAGATGTTCCCTCAGTGACTGGACTGCCCAAAGCCTGATCATAAAACCTCCCTTTGTAGACTCCACACTGCTTTGTAGAATTTGGTGCTGCAAGGCACCAAAGTTGTAGCCAACATCACCT